TTTTTTTTTTTGTTATTTTTTTTTAATTTTGTGCTCTAATCTCCTTTCGCTTTGGTTATACGAGTTTCTATTCTCTTTGAGCTGTGTTTTTTTTATAGTTCTTTATATTTTCGGATCTTTTTTCGCCAGTTTTCTCCATGTCAGAGGATCGGAGTTGAGGGTTTGGGGTTCTGGGTGGGCTTATAGATGTCTTGCTCAAGATTTTGTCATGATATCCTTTGAAGGGTTCCAAAATTTGAAAAGATCTGTTCTTTGTTTGCTGGGTCAATATCATTCTTTTATCTTGTTAAGTTGAGTACAGATTCTCATGCTTAGACGATGCTTTGAATGGTATTAACTTGGGTTATTTTCACTCTGTGTGAAGGCAGTTTAGGTAGGTGAAAAGGGAACGAATCGAAATAACCAGGCGATTTGAATTTAATGGCCGATCCCCAAGGGTTGGAAGGGAGCCAACCAGTTGATCTCTCTAAGCATCCTTCTGGGATTGTCCCAACCCTCCAGTAAGATCATGTCCTAACTTTTCAATATTTGTGTGCTTTACTTGTCTGATCAACCAATGTTTCAATGGTTGAGTACCCCTCGTTGATTTGGTACTGTACTTGCCGATACGGGTACTGCTCGATGTAATATCTATTGATGATCCTTGTGAAAAATGTACTTGAGCCAACACTGTTGTCATGTGAGCATGTATTCACAGATTTCGTTGACTTTTCAATTAAGCTAAGCAAATGATTCAGGTCAAATTTGGATTTGATACTTTGTTCTCGTTGTTTATTACATTGTTGAAGTGAGCAAACGGCCTTGTATACTTTGCTAATATGTTTAGATCCCCATAATTCAAGTGAGAATGTTATGGTTGAGAATTAACAATTCCTTATTGTTTGATCCAAAAAGTTTTCTTGTATGTTTAATGTTTGTGGTAGATAAGTGAGCTTTCAGAACTTTGTTTCCCACTGTTTCAGTCAAATGACCGGAATCCTTTGGGTGTATGTTTTACTACTGAGTAGAAAAATGTATCATTTGTTCCTTTTACATACATGCTGTCTGCTTCCTAAGCTTTTTATTTATGGTCTTCTTCTTTTCGTTCAACATGACTTTATAACTTGATGAACTTAACATTTTATTTATTTATTTTTCATTTTCGAATCTGTTAGAAGTTATATGTTGATGTAAAATTAAACAATGTTGTAAAAATCGGTCGAAGCAGCTAACTAGGTGGTAGACAGTTGCCCAGCCAACCTGGGCTGAAATGCCATATGAAGTATAAACAATTGTTTGGGTTATTTAGTGGCCATTAGGCAGCCTACCAACTTGGGCTGAATTATTTCTTACATGATTCAAAAATTTCTTACATATGTTAATATATATATA